TTTGACTTCTTTCACTGAGATCAACACTGGAATTGTTCAAAACACTAAAATATACTGCTTCTCAGTACTTCTAAGCTGTTTCAAAGATTATGAAGCTGAACTTTCATGAATTTGCAGAAAATTACACAGTGGTGCATTTTTGACTTATTTCACTGAGAGAAAGCTTTTTTCGTCTTAGTCTTATTTTGACTTCTTTCACTGAGATCAACACTGGAATTGTTCAAAACACTAAAATATACTGCTTCTCAGTACTTCTAAGCTGTTTCAAAGATTATGAAGCTAAAATTTCAGGAATTTGCAGAAAATTACACAGTGGTGCATTTTTGACTTATTTCACTGAGAGAAAGCTTTTTTCGTCTTAGTCTTATTTTTGACTTCTTTCACTGAGATCAACACTGGAATTGTTCAAAACACTAAAATATACTGCTTCTCAGTACTTCTAAGCTGTTTCAAAGATTATGAAGCTGAACTTTCAGGAATTTGCAGAAAATTACACAGTGGTGCATTTTTGACTTATTTCACTGAGAGAAAGCTTTTTTCGTCTTAGTCTTATTTTTGACTTCTTTCACTGAGATCAACACTGAAATTTTTCAAAACACTAAAATGTACTGCTTCTCAGTTCTTCTAAGCTGTTTCAAAGATTATGAAGCTGAACTTTCATAAATTTTCAGAAAATTACACAGTGGTGCATTTTTGACTTATTTCACTGAGAGAAAGCTTTTTTCGTCTTAGTCTTATTTTTGACTTCTTTCACTGAGATCAACACTGGAATTGTTCCAAACAATAAAATATACTGCTTCTCAGTACTTCTAAGCTGTTTCAAAGATTATGAAACTGAACTTTCATGTATTTGCAGAAAATTACACAGTGGTGCATTTTTGACTTATTTCACTGAGAGAAAGCTTTTTTCGTCTTAGTCTTATTTTTGACTTCTTTCACTGAGATCAACACTGGAATTGTTCCAAACAATAAATATACTGCTTCTCAGTACTTCTAAGCTGTTTCAAAGATTATGAAACTGAACTTTCATGAATTTGCAGAAAATTACACAGTGGTCCATTTTTGACTTATTTCACTGAGAGAAAGCTTTTTTCGTCTTAGTCTTATTTTTGACTTCTTTCATTGAGATCAACACTGGAATTGTTCAAAACACTAAAATATACTGCTTCTCAGTACTTCTAAGCTGTTTCAAAGATTATAAAGCTGAATTTTCATGAATTTGCAGAAAGTTACACAGTGGTGCATTTTTGACTTATTTCACAGAGAGAAAGCTTTTTTCGTCTCAGTCTTATTTTTGACTTCTTTCACTGAGATCAACACTGGAATTGTTCCAAACAATAAAATATACTGCTTCTCAGTACTTCTAAGCTGTTTCAAAGATTATGAAGCTGAACTTTCATGAATTTGCAGAAAATTACACAGTGGTGCATTTTTGACTTATTTCACTGAGAGAAAGCTTTTTCGTCTTAGTCTTATTTTTGACTTCTTTCACTGAGATCAACACTGAAATTTTTCAAAACACTAAAATATACTGCTTCTCAGTACTTCTAAGCTGTTTCAAAGATTATGAAGCTGAACTTTCATAAATTTTCAGAAAATTACACAGTGGTGCATTTTTGACTTATTTCACTGAGAGAAAGCTTTTTTCGTCTTAGTCTTATTTTTGACTTCTTTCACTGAGATCAACACTGGAATTGTTCCAAACAATAAAATATACTGCTTCTCAGTACTTCTAAGCTGTTTCAAAGATTATGAAACTGAACTTTCATGTATTTGCAGAAAATTACACAGTGGTGCATTTTTGACTTATTCACTGAGAGAAAGCTTTTTTCGTCTTAGTCTTATTTTTGACTTCTTTCACTGAGATCAACACTGGAATTGTTCAAAACACTAAAATATACTGCTTCTCAGTACTTCTAAGCTGTTTCAAAGATTATAAAGCTGAACTTTCATGAATTTGCAGAAAATTACACAGTGGTGCATTTTGACTTATTTCACTGAGAGAAAGCTTTTTTCGTCTTAGTCTTATTTTTGACTTCTTTCACTGAGATCAACACTGGAATTGTTCAAAACACTAAAATATACTGTTTCTCAGTACTTCTATGCTGTTTCAAAGATTATAAAGCTGAACTTTCATGAATTTGCAGAAAAGTCTGGTTGTTCTGCACAAGATGCTGCGGAACCTTCTTCCAGACGCCAGGGGGGAAAACAGTCCATGGTTGGGGTGGGTGGGGTCGGAGAGGATCTGGTGAGCGCGAGATAGGCAGCGCCTCTCTGCGATGTCCTTGATGCAGGGGAGCAGAGCCCCCGTGATCTTCTCCCCTGTCCTCACCACCCTCTGTAGAGACTTCCAGTCAGAGGCCCTGCAGCTCCCAGACCAGATGGAGATGTAGCTGGTCAGTTGGCTCTCGATGGTCCCTCTGTAGAACGTCTGAAGGATGGGGGGCGGGAGGGATGCTCTCTTCATCCGACACAGGAAGTGCATGCGCTGCTGGCCCTTCTTCACCAGTGAGGAGATGTGGGGAGACCAGCTGAGGTTTTCGTTGATGTGCACCCCCAGGAACTTGGTGCTGCTGACGACCTCCACTGCTGAGTCGTTGATGAGGAGTGGTGTGGGTGGGTCTGGATTTCCTGAAGTCTACGATGATCTCCTTGGTCTTGTTGACATTCAGGATCAGGTTGTTTCCTCTGCACCTGTCCACCAGTGGTGCATTTTTGACTTATTTCACTGAGAGAAAGCTTTTTTCGTCTTAGTCTTATTTTTGACTTCTTTCACTGAGATCAACACTGGAATTGTTCAAAACACTAAAATATATTGCTTCTCAGTACTTCTATGCTGTTTCAAAGATTATAAAGCTGGACTTTCAAGCTTTTGCTGAAAATTACACAGTGGTGCATTTTTTACTTATTTCACTGAGATAAAGCTTTTTTTGTCTTAGTTTTATATTTGACTTATTTCACTGAGAAAAATATTGTATTGTAGTTTGAAAAGATTCCAGTGTTTCTTCAACATAAAACTTTCTAAGACGAAAAAAGGTTTTTCTCCTTGAGATAAATAAAAATTGCGCCAATGTGTAATTTTCTGCAAAATCTTTAAAGTTCAGCTTTATAATCTCTGAAACAGCATAGAAGTACTGAAAAACAGTATATTTTTGTGGTTTGAACAATTCCCATGTTTCTTCACCATAAAACTATCTAAGACGAAAAAAGCTTTATCTCAGTGAAATAAATTAAAAATGCACCAAAGTGTAATTTTCTGCAAAATCTTTAAAGTTCAGCTTAATAATCTTTGAAACAGCATAGAAGTACTGAGAAGCTGTGTATTTTTGTGGTTTGAAAAGATTCCAGTGTGTCTTCAACATAAAACTTTCTAAGGCGAAAAAAGCTTTATCTCAGTGAAATAAGTCAAAAAAGCAGAAAAATTTAATTTTCTGCAAAATCTTGAAAGTTCAGCTTTATAATCTTTGAAACAGCATAGAAGTACTGAAAAGCAGTAGATTTTGGTAGTTTGAAAAATTCCTTGTTTTTTTTTAACATAAAACTATCTAAGGCCAAAATAGGTTTAAGCCGCCAAATAAACAAAAAGTAAATTAAACAAAAAGATTTGGGCTTTGGGTGCTCACCCTCATAGACTCAGACAGATGTGCGTTATGTATAAGATGTTTTGGCACAAAATATCTCTTTTTCTTCTTCACAATTTTGTCAGTCGCCAGCGGAGCCACTTCTAAAAATAGCCATTATCATTAGGGAGCACTACCAAAAAATAATTTAATTAAATGTTTTTACATTAAAGTAATGACGTTTGTTTATATTTAGAATTCAAAAGAGGGAAATGATTAAAACGTTTAAAATAAATTGCTTTATGTATAAAACTCTTTCCTGCTGTTAAAGTTCAGAACTGCGCACAGGCGCCTGCAGCTGCACTCTGCGTACCTTGACATTTTCCTTTAAGTAAAGAAAGAAAAGAATAACTTCTGGAGTTTTTAGTATTTAACCCTATTTACTATTAATAAAATTGTGACAAAAGATAAATAAATTGTGATAAAACATCTTATTCATAGCGCACATCGCAACACCTCAACCTGAGAATCAACACCGTCCTTTTTCTGTGAACCACATAAGGAGGCTTCGCTTCCATGTCTTTATTATTTAGCATCGTCTGGAAAAAAAAGTCTGCTGCTCTTGGTTTAGGCTTGTGTTGATTTTTGCGCTTTGGAGAGGTGCTTGTGCTCTTGCAGGTCAGGTGCAGTGATAGTTTTGTGTCGGACCTTTATTTTTCCCACATCTGCTGGTGTCAGCCAGGGGGTGACCCGTCAGCTGTTTGGTTCGCGAAACTACGAAAAAAGCGAATAAACCGGCGACCCGCCAGAACCGCACAGACTGTCAGAAGCTCAGGCTGAACGCAGAACAACGGGAGGTTCAAACCCAACTCGTTCATTTTTAGCTTACAGATAAACGCAAAGCCGTGAAATAAACAAAAGCAAACTGACCAATATTGGGCTTTGGCGTTCCCCACCTCAACCCTCAGACTGACACCTCAGTCTGTGTGTGTATCTTTTGACACAAAAGATATTTTATTTTCCACAATTTTGCTAATAGAACAAATGGTTAGGTAATAAAACAATAACTCTTCTTTTCTTTTTTATTTAAAGAAAAATTTCAAGGTACTCAGTGCTGTACAGCTGTAGGTGTTACTGCAACAATTCATCAGTTTGCTTTTGTTTATTTCAGTCACTTGTGGCCAGTTTAGAATCACAGAGAAAAGCTCCAAAAGGGAGTCAAACTTAAAACTCTGTGAGCTAAGAACTTCTGATCACATAATAGCAATTAACCATAGCTGCCATGGTAAATTATTACTGATAACTATTGTGAGTAGTCCTGACATCTCAAAAAGGTTGGTGACCCCTCCCTCATAGATTAGATCCCGACTTGCTTCCTCCTGTACAGTAGGTGGCAGTATGTTCTCATAGAGTATTTCAGTCAACTATGAAACGCAAAGAAAGAAAACTTCCGGAATAAACAATAACTTGGCTAAGTGTCCTTGTAAAGGCAGTTGTGTGTGGTTGATGTGTCAGCTTCAAACGTTTAGAAAACACTGGGGTCGGTTCAGTTCGGTTCGATGGCGGCGTCTGCTCACGTCTCCACTATTCGCTCCCTGTTCAAGAGGATCCTGGTCCTGCACCGCTTCCTGCCCGTCCACTTGAGGGCCCTGGGAGATCAGTACGTGAAGGAAGAGTTCAGGAGACACAAGAGCGCAGCTCCAGAGGAGGTGAAGAGCTTCCTGACGGAGTGGGAGGTAAGTAACAGCTTAGAAAGAAATGATCATGATTATTCAATCATGATCATGCTAATAAATAATTAAAGAGCAAAACAAAACAACTACAACAAAAAACACACACACATGCAGAGCAATAAAACAATTGAGAACGAGCCCTTGATGGAAATGCTTTCAGACAAATAGTTTCTGAACATTTTAGGTATTCAGGAATTTTGTTCCAGAACTGTAAGACATAGAACATCCAGTGTCCAGATAACAGTCTTAATATTCTCCTTGCTGTCCCTGCTCTGTCTCTGGATCCTCCTTGCTATATTTATAGCAGAAAGCTCGTTATGGTGGTGTGTTAACGGTTGGGCTGGTTTCCCTTCTACTTCTCCCCAGCTGCAACCCAGTTGCAGTGTTTCTGTTTTAATGAAGAGGGAAAAAAATAATACTTGCATTACGGTCATGACCAGTGCAGAGACTACAGGACAGATGGGATTTGATCCATCCCCTGGAGCTGCTCAGGACTTTGGGAGCTAAATTGTAGATACTGTAAGGAAGGTCAAAACTTTATTAGATCTTAAGCTTGATTTTGTGTTTTATTTGTTTTGGTTTCCCAGGCCTAGATCAGTGGATACAACACAGCTTGGGGGAAAGGCTAGCATTGCGAGATTCATTGTTTTAAGTTCTGTTTATTCTGCTCTTGACAGCTGGTGGTTGCCTTAGCAACCAGTATCTAACAGCTGATCCGTTATGTTTTTTTCCTGTTGTTGGTTATGGCACTCACTGCTCACTGCACAGACATCGCTAAATGCTGACTGTGCCAGAGCTAGAGGCCAGAAGCCACACAGTTCTTCTGTGAGAACAACTCAGTTTTCATTATAATTCATCTGTGCTGGAAGGAGTAAAGTTTCTGCAAGAGACCCTTCGTTCTTGTCATGTATCTTCAATTACCGACACACCTCCTTAACAATGGAAACCAAAAAGCACGACAATACCATAACCAAAACTCAACCTAAGCAGTAAGGCCCAGAATTCACTCTTCCCAGACTTCCTGAATCTGATGATTGACTATCTGACAGATTCTCCTCTCCAGAACCCCTATCTGACAGATTCTCCTCTTCAGAACTCTTAAGCCTCCCTTACCAGGTAAGCCTCCCTTACCAGGGAGGCTTAAGAGTGTGACCCGTTTGTAGATGGAACACACTCTGCGGTCCAGCAGAGTGTTCACCTGGCCTGCGAGTCCAGGTGAACTATCCCCAATGTCCAAAACAATATTCCAGTCATGTCAAGCAACACAACCCTACAACATTCAAAGCCTTAAGGAACTCTGAATACAGATAATCACACAAAACAACACAGTCAAGCATTTTGTCATTCTAATGCATAATTTTGAGTTTATTGCAAATTTTCCACAAAAATGGTTACAAACACTGTTTAAGTAACGCACGTCTGCAAGGGCCAGTACTGCTTACATCTTCAGTTCTGCCTCAACCTTACTTGAAATTAAGTTATTGTTTGTGATTAATAACAGAATTTGAGCAATTGAAGTTCTTTAAAAAATAAAAATGTGAGTCCAATCTTTTTTCTTGTTTTTTTTTATTATTCTAAATTTATATTTTGAAAGGGCTTCACCGACTAAAACTATTTTAAAAATATATGACAAGTACTTGTAAGCTTCACAAATCAATGATTTTCATTGTAATAAATCACAAAAACAATCAAGAAATCTTATAGGAACAGGTCATTAAAAAATCAATAATACACAACAACCAAACATGTCTTATTTTATTTGTGCCTTTACGCCCATTTTATATATCGTGATGTGCAGTCTGAACAGAAAGTATTCAGTATTTCTACATTTCTGTTTTTTTCTGCCAAAATGTATATTAATGAGAAATATAAACTTTTTTTAATTTTAGCAAATGTCTGCAATGAAACAAAGAGTGAAAAATGTGAAGGGGTTTGAATAGTTCCTGAACCCACTGTAAAACTAGAGCATCAGAGCTAAGAAGCAGGAAATCACATTCAGTTCTTGATTACTGGGGAAACAACTTGACAGTGCCTCCCAGTACTAATGGTCACTGCTGCGATACAGTCAGGTTGTGTTGGTGTAACTTCTGCACCCGCCAACATTCGTTATGTTTCATTATCAGGTCAGTCCTGTTGTCTTTAAGAGAGCTGGTGCTATGCTTTATTAGTCTGTGACCACATGATGGCAGCATAGCCCCATAAAACCTTCTATAAACAATCAGACCTGAATGGAAAAGTTACTTAATAATAATAACTCTGATGAATATTATTGTAAAAAAACCAGTCAGATTAAATGTGAGCGTTTTGAACATGTTAATGTGAATTGGAAACATGGTGGCAGAGCCTCAGGCTGCTCTGTTGAAGCCCATGTCAGTGTCTTTTAAAGTCTGGAAGCTTTTCTGTAAGAAACAGCCTTATTTGCACTTGTATTTGATTAATAAAATTTTAAAGCTGAACTAGGAATTACTGACTTCTTACAATGAAGTCGCTTCACTGCCTGCAGTGAAGCGACTCAGAGATTTCGGGGTGAAGTGTTAGTTGTTTTTAGGAATTGGTTGCTTTAATTAACCTAATAAAAATCTGTTTTTATCTTCCTTAGTTTTTAAGCTCTACCATTAAAGTCTTGCCCAAAACAAACAAATAATATTCTAGGTTTTCTTCTCACGTCCCTGTTGTGAGAGACAGCTATTGTTCTCCATAATAATCACGGACAACTGGGAAATACTAAATTACCCATCTGAAGGTAATTCATCTAATCAAGCAGATGATGATTGCACCTGGAATCCTAAGAGGTTGCAGTCATTGAGGAAGAGGTATTCACTTTCCTCATGCCCACCACACTATTTGCATTGATTTCAAACCCAGAGTCCATTTGATCTGGCTCCAGGCAGTGTATGACGAGCTTCCCCTCATACCTGCTCACTGCTTTGGCAGCATTTCAAATTGAATTGAGTTTGATCAAAATCCAGCTTCTGCGTAGCTAAACGTACCTTCAGAATCGAGGATTGTGGGCTAGCGTCTCTGACCAGCAGAGACGCTCGTTCATCAGAGGGGCTGATGATGAACGTTATACTTGGAGAAGCCTCTTTCTGTTCTGTCAAGTATTTTGGCTGACTTTACATGTTGTTGATCAACAACAATAATGATATAGAAAAAAATAGATTATGAACATCTATTAAAAGGTATTTTCATATTTAAAACTTGAGACTGAAAGTGGTATGACATAAAAATCAGTATTTATGACAGTGTTTATAAATTAAGCTTTTTAAAGCTAATTTAAAAAGCAATTTAAATTAGCTTTTTAAAAAAAAAGTGAAATGTTTTTGGGGGTTTTTCTGATTTGTTTTGGGACTTATTTTCTTTTTGTAGTTCTTCAAACTTGAGATTAAGTGATTTATAAGCACTAAAATGTTTTATCATTTAAAAAAGGAACTGAATTATTTTCATTAGTATTTTCTCTTTCATCTTTTTGTTTTTTTAAGTAGTTTTTTCCTAAGGAGACCGGTGCTGTTAAGCTGGTGTTTGTAAATAAGGTTAATTTGAACATATTATCCACATCATGAATTATGCCAATATTTACCGCATTTTATATATCAGTCACTAGCCTGCCTGCTAACCAAGCAGATGTGTTTGTTGGCATGGCAGCACAATGCCAGAATATGGAAGAGTCTGAGTGAAACCATCAGCAGCCAGCCTCTTACAGTGACTTCCTTCATCCACTGTGCTAAACATGGCTAATAAACAAAACAGCTAAAAAGATTGTTTTAAGAAAAAGGCTATTGCTTATGTTTGTGCTACCTTCTGTTTACCTAATGGCACTTGGTTACCTTCATCTCTTAGCAACAGATTAACAACAAATATTGTTATTGTTAAAAAACATAAGATTTTCTCTCTTCTTTTGAAATACCATTTATACTGCTTAAAGATTTTGCAGTTTTTGAATTTTCCAAGAAAAGTGAAAATGTTTTTTTTTTTGTCATTCTTGGAGAATATATTATAAAACAAACATTCAACGCAAATGTAAAAATCTGATTTATACTTCATGACAATTAGTACTAGAAAAAAAACTTTAATCTCTTAATACCAAATTAATGAGAAGTAACAATATCGTTTATAAAACATGAGCTCTTTTGAAATACTGCTTATCTGCTTAGAACTGTAAAGAAATTTACAGTTGGTAAATTTTGCAGAAGTAAAAATCAGATGTTTGCTTAATGGCACTTGGTTACCAGAAAACACGCTCATCTCTTAGCAAAAGATCAAGAACAAATATTGTTATTGTTAAAAAACAATGACAGTGATTTTTTTTTTGTCATTGGTGGTAAATACACTGCTCAAAAAAATGAATGAAATAAATATGAAAATAATTTCCACTTGTTGTCTATTCCATTTGGACAACAGCAAGTGATACTGATTGTCAATCAGTGTTGCTTTCTAAGTTTGATTTCACAGAAGTTTAATTTACTTGGAGTTATATTGTGTTGTTTGAGTGTTCCCTTTATTTTTTTGAGCAGTATATATTACAAAACAGACATTCAATGCAAAAGTAAAAATCTGATTTATACTTTGTGGCAGTTTGTTACTAGATAAAAACTCTCATCTCTTAGCAGCACATTAACAAAAAATATTATTATTGGAGAAACATAAAATTTTCTCTGCTCTTTTGAGCAGATACTACTTATCTTACACTACTTACTACTTAGCAAGAATTGTGCAGTTGGTGAATTCTGCAGAAAAGTGACTATATAGATATTTTTTTCTTATGTCATTGGTGGTGAATATATTATAAAACACATAATTCTCTGTAATAAGTATTTCACAACGGTGGCGTCTCTGTAGTTGTCTACATCTCTGCCCTCGTCAGTGTTCCATGGTAATAAATCCTCTATGAAAACTGTCAGATGTAAGTGTGACACAGAGGGTAAGACAAAATTCTGTCTTTGTTTTGATCCTAACTGATAGAAAACAGTGTCAGTTAGTTGTTTTGATTTGAATTTGACTTG